CTGCGGTTGCGAACTAAAGCGCTGAATTCATCCCATCAATAGGGTTGCCATTCATATCACAGGTCTTATAGATTCAATCGCCCATTTTCCAGGATAATTAAGTGACCGGCTCTAACAAAACAGTGTGACAATTTTCTAGAAGAGGGAAATAAAGCAATGTGAGAAAGGAACGTGTTTTTTTTTTTTCTAATTGGCACAACGATTCTAATATAGGGCTTAGCAGTAGCCTTATCCATACAGATTTTATTTGGCCAATATAACTTTAAAACTTGGATTGGAATGGCTTTAGACAGGCAAATGCTCTCCAAATCACTGCCCACCCCCTACTGTCTTATGCTCTTTAACTGCTTTGTAGTCATTCATTTACCTACCTAGCCCCTGATGCCATATGAGTTTGCAACCCTGCAACATGACCCAACACTTCATAAAGCATAAAGCAGGGGTTTGCAAGGTTCTTTCTTAGGCTGGAACAAAATCTTCTTTGTATAGCTTCTATCTATCCCTCCTATTTCTGGAGTTCTATAGGTTCTATATTGGAAGTTTAACTTTTTTCTAAAGCGTGGTCTTTCACCTATTTGGAGATGACCAACAGAGTATCTCTCAGGCCCTCCCTTTTCCATCTTAAGCATACTGCCTTCCTTCAACTATTTCTTATGACACTGGATCCCCTCACCATAATCAGAACGTGCCCTCTTAAAGAGGGGCATCCATAAGAGGAAAGATAATGCAGGCATGGTCTAATCTCTTCTAATTCAAAGTGTAATCCAAAAGCCAGCAGCATTAGTATCACTTGGTAGCTTGTTATAAACGCAGAGCCTCAGGCTTTCCTGGTGGCGCAGTGGTTGAGAGTCCTCCTGCCGATGCAGGGGACACGGCTTCATGCCCCAGTCCGGGAAGATCCCACACGCCGCGGAGCGGCTGGGCCCGTGAGCCATGGCCGCTGAGCCTGCACGTCCGGAGCCTGTGCTCCGCAACGGGAGAGGCCACAACAGTGAGAGGCCCGCATACCACCAAAAAATAAATACATAAATAAATAAATAAATAAAATAAATGCAGAGCCTCAAACCCCACCCTAGAGCTACTAAATCAAGATTCTCCAGGTGATTCCTATACACAAAACAACTCAGAGAACAGAGACTCTTTTGGTATTAACATAGCCTAAGATTACGAGTCAGTCTTTTAAGAGGCAATTATATTGTTGACCCTGATTCCTGTTATCTGAAATCCCTGTTTTTTCACTCACTGCTAAGCCACATCTTCCTATACTATATTAGGGTTTTATTGAAGCATTTAACAGTCTGATTACAGAGTCTGGTACCTCTGTTTGATGAGTTATACATGTACCTAGACTAAGATTTTAAGGATAAAACACAGATCACATTCATCTCTTTGATGCCAAGCAAAGGCCCTGATACATGACAGTTGCTTATGTAAGAAGTAACAAAAAAATAAACTAACACTTGCCAAAATGATAAAGGAAACTGAGTCACGCTGTTAAACGATTCGTGGCATGGCGTGATCTGGGGCTCAGTGTTGGAGACTGGGATTCTCCCCACTTCTCACCTCTGCTCCCTCGGGGTCAGCTCTGTACTTGGGCAGGGTCGCCCTTTGTGTCCTCAAGACGGCTGCCAGTGTTGCTCAGAGCTACAGCCTTCTCAACCTATTTCAGCGGGCAGAGTCATTTGGAAACTTGAGGGGGTGGGAGCTTTCTTCTTTTCTCTTTTCTTTTTCAGAAACCTCAGCAAATGTACCCTCCAGTTTCATTAGCTCGGATGGAATTAACCACTCATTTCTGAGCCAATCCCTGAGGCCAAGAGGAATTAATATCCTAATAGGTTTAAGCCAATGAGAATCTACCCCTAGAGCCGTGAGAGGCTGAAAATGGAGGAGGGCTCCATCAGGAAATCAGGAAACTGTTGCTGGGAGAAGTGGTGACATGATGTTGGAGAGGAGGCCGACAGATGTCTGCCACAATGCTCAAAAGGTCTGCATTTCCATTTCCTCTGAATCTTGCGACTGTTTTTCAGGATGTCCAACATTATAGCAATCACCAGAATGGGTTATGGCCAGAAAACTTTTCTATTTTTAAACGGCACACAAATTATTATGCCCCATCACATTGTTTCAGTGATCGACTTTAAAGGGCCCTGGCTTACCTCCTCCTGGAATAATAAAGCAGTCACAGGAGGAGTTCTTTGGGCCACTCCAAAAACCACTCCAGAGTGGTTTGCCACACATAATAGAGGGTGCATTTGAAAGGCAGCATCCAATGACCAGTTCTGGCTGAAAACTTTTGTGTTTTCAAAAGTTCAATAAGCAGAAGTGACCACAATGTGTTTGAAACTTTATAGCATGCGTCTTCAGGAGACAAAGTGCCTAAAACTAGATGGAAAGACTTGTAATTTTTTAAATTAAAAACTGTAGACAGGAGAGGTAACAGTCAAAGTAAAATAAGCATGAATCCTACGTTTTTGTTTCAAAAATAAAACCCGAGGTATGGGGAAAATTGTAATATGGAATTCAGAAATCTGCTTTGGCCATATGCTCTATTGCATGTTCACTGTGCTTGCTTTCCTTGAGCCAAAGGCTCTCAATGACTGGTCAAGCTTAGAAGGGAGAGACATAAAACCAATGAGACCAAAGGCAGGGGGGGTATTTTTCTGTCCTTACCTCAGCGATCAGAGGGCAAATTTACAACCACTAGCCTCTCTGGACACACAGCTTGCTGGTCTAGATGGTCGGTGTGAGAAAGTGGTGATGGCCAGCACTGGCCATCACCACTTCTCAAAAGAACAACATAACACCCAGGCCTGGTCAACCCCCAGGAAGGTCAGTTGTGATCTTCACAATGGAAGGCAACCTAATTCGGTACCCAGCCTAGGCCATCCCATCTCAGAAACGGTTTGTGTGGACCCTGGCTTTACCACGTACTCGAAGAGGGACTTGGTGGAATCACTCACTCCCACTTCGATGTCCTCATGTGCATGACAGGAACAGTGATAGCCTTCTCATAGATAGGGGTGAAAATATAATAGCTCATGTGATAAGGGCCTGGAAATGTCCCGGGCAGAGCAGGCCCACAAAGGCCACTCTCTTGCCTGCCCCGTTCAGGCCCATTCGGTGCTCTGACTTTATAAACACGTAACTAAAGTATTTTGGTCTGATCATAGACCCTATATAATTTCTCTCAGCCTTCTCCAGATGCCTGTACAATCATATATATGTGTTAAGTTATACCTTTTAGTTCTGCAATAATTGGGACCGAAAAAAAAGAACTTTTGAAAACTCTTCAAATTTTCACATACATATATAAATGACATGAAATGATCAAAAGGGCATGGCCTCACCCCTTACTGAATGTAAAGCCTTGGGTAAGTTTAGTTCAGTAGTAGACTTCAATCAGTCACAGCTTTAAAACAGCAGCAACAATAACAAACATCTCTCCCACTAGACTGTAGGGTCCTTGAGGGTTGAAATCTTTTACTCAACTTTATATTCTGCTAAAGGCCCTAGCAGACTGACCAGCATATATTAGAAAGATGTTGAAAGGAAGGATAAACTGAACTATCTTGAAGGGCATGCCACCTTGAAAGGCTTAAAAAGGCTGCTTAGTTGCTATAAAATGAAAAATACAGAAATCAAAGTAATGAAAGACTGGACTCAATGTCTAACAAGTACAGCAGTCACGATTTTTTTTTTTTTTTTTTCATTCGCGGGGCTCCTCCCTCCTTGGCCCTTCCCCTTTCGGGACCACGGGCCCCGGTTGCGCAGGCTCAGCGGCCATGGCTCACGGGCCCAGCCGCTCCGCGGCATGTGGGATCTTCCCAGACCGGGGCACGAACCCGTGTCCCCTGCATTGGCAGGCGGACTCTCAACCACTGCGCCACCAGGGAAGCCCCACAATTTTAAAATTTCAAACCACTCTTGAAAAAGTGTCACCCTGGCTGAGGGACAGAAGATCTCCTATGGGGTCTACCTCTGTGATTCCATGACCTCTTGCAAGTTCCTTTATTTCTCTCTCTTTTTTTTTTTAATATGATTATACCAGAGCAGCTCACGGCCCTGCCTGCCCCTGCCCAGGTCCTGGGACAGCAGGGAGAACCAGAAGCAGTCCTGCTCACCCAGCACCAGAACCACCAGGGGCTTTCCCACCTCTGGCAAGTTCCTTTTTCCCTCCAGACTTCGGTTTCGTTAGCCACACAAGATGTGAAATAACAAGTTTTCTAAAATCCCTTATGGCTGTAAGATTAAATGTCCAAAATTTCTACACACACCTCTGGCAAGTCTCCTATGAGGAACGCACCCTGATAGGCACTCCTAAAGGACATGAGAAAAAAGAGACCCAGGACTGTCCTTCAATAAGCTCATGGTCTATGAACAATAAAACACAAAGACACAAATAACTGTGATGCAAGGCTGGAAGGTGTAATGGCCATCCAAGAGGTGCTCATGTGGAATTTGCAGCTGTGGAGACAGGAGTGGTTTTGCAGAGGAGAAGCATTCATCCCATTTCGATGTGGCCAATACAGAGCACCCATATGCCAGCCTGGCACTGTGCCTGCACACAAAAAACGCAACACAACTGTTACCAAGACAGAGAGAGCCCTGCCCTCATGGTGTCTAAAGGCTGACTGAAAGAAGGCAGACATTTAGAGAGGGGGAAGGAATTCCAGGCAGAGGGACCTGTGCAGCAAAGACAGGAAGGCAGAGCATCAGAAAGCATCAGTCACACAGGAGTGAGCCGTGGCTCCACTGGCACAGAGGCAGGCAGTACACAGAAGAGCAGCATGAGAAAAGGTAGGCGGGTAAGATGCAGCTGATATGGAGCTCCTGAAATGCCAGGCTATGGGGTCTGATTTTAACTAGTCCAACAAATACCCTAACAACTCTAAGGGACTGAATGTTTATTAAACTTCACATGATCAGTGATTTGTATCCAAAAACACTTTGTTTTTCTGTAACTAAAGGGAAGATGGCTGAAAGAAAATTCTCCCCCCAAAGTAATTTAAATAAATTTATTTGCAGGAGAAAAACATCTGAACATCAGGTACAGTCTGATCCACGATGATCCAACAATAGTCATAATTCATTCTGGAAGTACTCTTACACAGTTGGCAGGAGAAAGTCCACATGGAGCATCAGCTGAACGTTTATCAGAATTCACAAAGCCATCTAACCTGAGTATTACACAACACGTAGTAATGATCATGATACAATAATAAAAATACAATATCCAATACTCACTACTTTGTGAGCTACAGCTAAAATATAAAGTATTTAGGCTCGTTTTAAAAAAATGAAAAAAATATTTCTATTATAGCTTTATTTCAAGCATTTTCAGTTAGATACAGCTTTATATATTTTCACTCACGATAGACAGCAAAAGAATGCCTTCTTAAGTATCTGTAGATAAAATATATTACTCGTTTAAATGTTTGTACTCTGAAGCATACTTTGCCAGGTATGAGTTCAGATAAGAGTATGGAACGGTGCTGTGGCAAAATCCTGGCTGATGATCAAGACTTAGATAGTTTTCATATTTGTTTAAAACAACTTACATCAGGGAAAAAAGAAGTGAGGACATAAAGAGAACCAACATTATTCTTTTTCAGTGAAGCAGTCTAATTCCAGAGAACGGGCTTTCCATTTTGAATTCAAAGTGTGTGGTCCCAAAGTTGAATTTTTTCCAGTCCAAGGAGCTGCCTGCGGCTGAGGCAACAGGCAATGATGAAGCGAGTTGAGAGGAAAGCGTTAACTGAACTACAGAGATGGTCACTGATAAAACAAGTTTCTACAGGTCCTCGAGCCCACACAGAGGCGAAGGGGAGCCAGAACTATCAATACAGAAGAAAAATGTGCTCACTGAACTGCACACACAGAGCTTCTAGGAGGGTTAACAGTTCTTGACATAGGTTCCTGGTTGTAGTTTACAATATCTGCCTTCACCACCCTCTGTCATAAAAGAAAACAAAGTTATTATCAGGACATCAGAACATTTAGAAGGAGCTCCTTAAAGTATATTTTTATTTTCTGAACTTTGGTGAACTCCTGATGATAGACATCATAAATGAAGCAGGAGCTGATATTAAAAGAACCAGCCAGGACCAACTAAGGTCAAGCTGGGATATATTTTGGTGGAGGGTGAGGGAGTAGCAGGGCAGGGGTAATTCTGTTAAGGATGTAATAGCATTACTTTTACTGAGTCTTCTCTGGTTTTATGACAATAATAACTTGAGGTTACCAAAAGTCTAATAAAAAATTGGCAAATCAATATGAAAAATTAAGCCCTGGTTATAATTTAAAGCAAAGGAATTAAAATTAATCATTTATATATCTCAATAGATAAGATCTCACCATTTCAAAGAATATCATTATTTATTAATATTTCCATAAATCATTATATCCAGTCATAACTTTTTAAAGAATGTTTATCAATTTGTGAGTTAGTGAAGAGATAAAATGTCAGAGAAGTTATATATAAGAAGAAATGTTTTAAGCAACCCAATTTTTAAAACTGTTCTCCCAAATCCCTAACTTACTTACAAATAGCTCACTATTGGTTATGAATAATGACGCTAACAAAATATAGAATAATGAGAAAGTTAGAAAATTACCTCATATTCATGTTTTTAAAATAATTTAAACCAAAAGACACTTTTAACTCTTCCTTCCTTCCCTCTAACACACACTTCAAGGAATATCTTAAACAATGAATTTAGCAATATGCCCTAACATTCATCTCTAAGTAATTATTTAAAGTAAAACACATCCTTTATTGTTTTCAACTCTTTTACTAACTCTGCACACACAAGCAGACAAAGAAGGGTAACTCAAGGCAAATTTTAAAAATACTCTTTCAATTACCAGGCTATTTCAGGAAAAAATGGTAAGGAATGAATAATGAAATAACTGCCTCAATTCTCCACTTCACTGCACATGTAATAAACACAACCATAAAGACAAATACGTTTGAAAGTAACTGAAATATTATTTTAATTTTTTCCCAATTCCTTGTGTAAGTAATAAGTCTCCCAGCAAAGGATCAGTTTTTCAAAGTTCTAAACCAGGACTTATGCAATATTAATTCCCAGTAATGTACAATAATCATTTGAACTTCTCTATTCATAAAGAATAAAGAACAAGACAGCATTCACTAGTTCTCCCCACCCTCCTCCCCCAAACTGCAACAGTTTATCAATTAATACCTGCACTACTGTACTGAACAGATTCTACTCTGAGCAGAGTTGGTATGTTGATTATCTTCTTCCGGGTACTTCACTATTTCTGCCCTGACAATATGCTGTCAATTCCATACAACATAAGATGCAGAAGAAAGAGGAAAAAAAGAAAGAAAAATGGAAAGTTTACTCAATGACTGAAAATAGAAGGGAACAAACACCAAAGGAGAAAAAGAAATACACACATAAATTTAAACATGTCACAAAAGAAACAGCAAAATATATGCATATAAAAGTAAAGAAAATGAAAAAAGATCCAAGAAACATTGTTCTCTACAATTCTATTTAATTACTGAAATAGACATGTCTACTGAACCTCTCAGAGAAGCTGTGGGTTCTATTTTTGATATCACAATTACACATAATATATATAACGCCCAATATTTCAGAGGGCAACTAAGAATTTGGGGGCTTTTCTATGCTAAAGTGCAGCCAAGGTACCAATTCAATTTCTTTTTACAAACATTACTGAGGATCTGCTATGTGCCAGTTGCTCTACACTAGGAACAAATGATGAATTACACAGGATTTGTTCATAAGTTGCTATGGACCTAACGGGAAGAGAACATGTACACAGCTAGTTGTCATACCAGATAAGTGCTTTACTAGTGGACTTAAAAATATGTTGTGGGAACAAAGAAGGAGTGATTCATTTTCTTTGAAGGTGGGGAGAGGATGCATAAATCAGAGGAAGCTATATGTCATTTACAATTTTGACATTTAATAATATTTATTACTTTTCAAAGACTTTCTTTTGAAGCTCATTCCCCCACCCCTCACACAGCCCTAACCTCCATGTTTCCAAATTCCATACAGAAATAAATAAGTTCAAAACACACTTTTCTATCATTTAAAACAAAAATTCTGACATACAATATTTAAGCACAACAGCTGTTGTTTTCAAATATCTAAGAGTTTCGCTAAATAAAGAATCAAAACTAGTTAGGTTTTTTGATTGCTATAACCCTTAAGATGAAAAGACCACATATGACAAATATGATAGAGATAACACGCTCCCCCAGTTTTTTGGACTTGAAACTATCCTTGCTTTTAATGAGTTCAAATATTTATTTCAGAAATATCTTCCTTCATAATAGCATCTATTAATTAGCACATACAGAAAAAAACATGTTAATCAGGTTGCTGCTTGTGATAATGTTTATAAAGACAGGATAAACAACTGAGAGTGAATGAACAGGACACTACAGTATATTAGCCTTGGATGGGCTCTGCTTCAGTTCTCTAGCAGGCAGTATTAACTTCTGGATAAGACTCATGATTTACTAGGCACTCAGCCTGATGCTATCAACAGAAGCATTACCAACTGCTACATGACGTATGAGGGGGGGTCCATCAGTGAAACGCTGAACACCAGCACCTGGCCTCCCCAAAACTAATTGTTTCACATCAAACTATGGGTTACAATAAAGAGAAGGGATTTTCATAATCAGTAAGCAACTCATTAATCCTCCAAAATGATGGTTTAAACCCTATCCTATAAACACAACCGGGTTACTGACCTGTGGTCAAGACATTCTGGTCAAAGTTATTGACTAACATAAATGACTTGGATTTTCACCATTAATTCTCATCAAATTAATGAAGAACTAACAAGGCAACATCTTTCTTGGGGGCCTTGGCTGTTTGACATAAAGCTTTGCACAAAGTTCCTGAACTGGAAGCCAGAACCAAAGCTCTGCATATTCAGAGCTTTGCTTTCTATGAGTAAAAAAAGCATAATTTCCATGTCATAAACTTCATGAGAGGTGATTTCACAGTAGTCGGCTTGTTTACAAGTCATTCATTCATTGACATTTTCAGAGAAAATGTTTCCTACAAAACACCCACCTTTATTTTTGGAGCCACAAAGTACACTCAATTACTCTCTGCTATTAGTCAGGTGAGTGAAAATAATGCAGTGGCCCTAAGAGGAAGGGAGCTGTGTGGCTGAACACCAGCTTAACCCTTGTTTTGTCAAAGAGTTGTGAGCGGATACTGGAAATGGTAGCTCTCCATAAGGGTAAGAAAGCAAGCAACCTAGGAGTTGAGGTAAGGTATAAGCAGTAGAGACTGACTCTTCGGAAGACACTAAAGATAAATTTGGTCAATTCTACAACTGTGTTTTAGTCCAGATAGTAGTAACAAATTTACCTTTGCAAAAGTAATAGTTTATCATGCTCAGGATATGGAGTAAACATACTTTGACAGCTGAAACACCTGTCACTATCACTCATTCAAAGCAAACCACTATTCTAGGTATTGGAAATATTCATATAAATAATACATGATCTCTGTTTTTTGAGACGCATAAGAGTCTAGCATGGAAAACAGATGTGTAAACTATTAAAGAATATTAAATAAATTAAAGAATACTATGATTGATACAAATTCAAAGTGCAGAGATTATAGGTTACCATTTAAAAGCATGGATATAACATTTTGAAAAGCATACTTTACACACAGTGGGAGCTTTTTTTTCTGTATAATGTGCCATTATAGGCTGCCAGTAACATTCACAACTTTGGGCAAGTTACTTCACCTCTTTGGTCTTCACCATCTCCTAATCTGTAAAACGCAAGGTTTATCTACATGGTTTTATCCCATCTGGTTTTTAAACTATATGAAAAAATAAATTTTAAAAGTGAATAGTGAAAGAAAAAAATGGAATATGATCTATAGGTCTTAGCAATATTTTATTGGAACTGTCTCCTCAGGCAAGGGAAGTAAAAGCAAAATAAATAAATGGAACCTACTCAAACTTAAAAGCTTATGCAGAGAAGCACAGGGAGATCAGCTCAGTGCTTTGTGACCACCTAGAGGGGTGGGATAGGGAGGGTGGGAGGAAGACGCAAGAGGGAGGGGATATGCGGATATATGTATACGTATAACTGATTCACTTTGTTGTACAGCAGAAACTAACACTACATTGTAAAGCAATTATACTCCAATAAAGATGTTAAAAAAAGAAAAAAAAAAGCTTATGCAGAGAGAAGGAAAGCATCAACAAAAGGCCACATTAAATAAGCATTAAATAATGAAAAGGCCGCCTAATGAATGGGAGAAAATATTTGCAAATGATATATCTGATAAAGAGTTAATATCCAAAATATAGAAAAAGCTCATACAACTCAGTATAAAAAAACAAAAAAACAAAAAAAAAACAGATTTAAAAATGTTCAGAGGACCTGAATAGACATTTTTCCACACAAAACATACAGATGGCCAAGACACATGAAAATATGCTCAACAATGCTAATCATCAAGAAAATGCAAATCAGAACCTCAATGAGATTATCACCTCACACCTGTCAGAATTACTACTGTCAAAAGGACAAGAAATAACAAGTTGGCAAGAATGTGTAAAAAAGAGAATCCTAGTATACTGTTGGTGGGAATGTAAATTGGTGCAGCCACGATGGAAAACACTATGGAGGTTCCCCAAAAAACTAAAAATAAAAATACCGTATGATCCAGTAATTCCATTCTTGGGTATATATCTGTAGAAAATGAAGACATTATTTGAAAAGATATATGCACCCCAATGTTCATAGCAGCATTATTTACAATAACCAAGACATGGAAGTCATGTAAGTGTCCATCAACACATGAATGGATAAAGAAGATGTGCCACACACAAACATACACACATACAGACACACAATGGGATATTACTCAGCCATAAAGAGAATGCAATTTTGCCATCTGCAACAACAT